GAGCCCATCCAGACCAGGCATGCGAAGAATCTGGTTCTAGATATCTTAAATGATCCAAAGAACCACCAAGGTTATGCCATGCGGTACGAATACTAGCTCTTGCTTGCGTGGTACAGGTGGTAATCCGAAGATTCCAGTTATTCAGCTTCGGTGGTCATGTCCTTCACCTATGGAAAGATTACTCCGACTTCATATACAGATCCTGAAATCGTTGCCGTCAATCAGTCACTTGCACATTTTGGTGAAGCTATGAAACCGGGAGCATACCTTGTGGATATGTATCCAATCCTGCGTTTCATCCCAGGCTACCTGAGTCAGCTGAAGACATGGCACAAAGAAGAACGTGCTCTCTATGAAAGGCAATTGGACGGAGTGCGTAGACAAATGGTTCGTGATTTTGTTTTGATGAGATGTATCCTCGCTCATCACTGTGAAGCGTGAGGGGACTGCAAGGCCATCCTTTGCGAAGTTGGTGTTAGAGCACCAGACACAGTACCAGCTCGAAGATCAGGAAGTGGCATACCTTGCAGGAGTGATATTTGGGGCCGCTTCTGATACGGTAAGTTCTTACATTCCATCGCGTCTTCACTCGATAATTGTTGTAGACTGCGTCCGCAATCACATTTATGATGATGGCTGCTGCCACTCATACAGATGCGCAGGCTCGCGTACAAGAGGAACTCGATAACGTCGTGGGGCGTACGCGGCGTAAGTTATACTTTTTCTTTGTTCGTCTACTGACTGAGATAGCTCCTGATTAGTCCCGACATTTGCTGATCAGGAAATGCTGCCGCAGGTCACCGCGTTCATCCTCGAGAGTCTCAGGTGGAGACCTGTCACTCTTGGAGGTACGTCTTATTTGAGTTGTGATGACGCGACAATGAACAACCACCTTTCACTACAGGCTTTGCGCATCGCGCGACTAAGGACATCATTTGGAACAACTACCTCATTCCTGCAGGTGCGACTGTTATTGGCAACCATTGGTCAGCAGGCAATCATTTTCGTCCTCTGACCTTTGGGTCTGACGCTCGTGCTTCAGGGCTATCGCAAATGATCCTGAAGTCTTCCCAGAACCACACAGGTTCAATCCTCAGCGTTGGATCGACGATGCAGGTCGTGTGCGCGGTGATCTCAAGTTTTTCACTTTTGGCTTTGGCCGTCGGTGAGTGGTATCGTTGATCTCTCCACCTTTTCTTATGCCTTACTTAAAAATATCAGAGTATGTCCTGGTCAACATGTCGCGAACCGGTCAGTCTTCATTAACACGGCTCTTATTCTGTGGGCCTTCCGCCTTTCGGAGAATCCTGCAGCGAAGATTGACACGCTTGAATTCTCTGACACTCCAAGCATACATGCTGCTCCGTTTGATATATGTTTTGCGAAGAGGATCGATGAAAATGTGGTCAGGGAACTATGCACACCGGGCAAATAAGAGGCGTTTATTCCAGATCCTTGATTATTCGTCCAAAGGGGCACAATTATAATAATGAACTCGATCCCCTTGGTGTTACTACACATGAAGTATCTCTCGATACACTGCGATAGTCTCCAAGTTGCGTGGCTGATTATGAACCGTTTACAGCCAGCCCCCGGACAAAATGAAGCATGGTACTGAAGTCCTGTCCTTTTACCGTTCAATCGTTTCGCCACCCTGCATGCGCTTTCCTTTTCTAGCTGGCCAATACGATGAACAGGCAACAAATAACTTCACTTTGCTCTCAAAGTTGACGTGGGTTTCATCCCAGTCATGGTTCCTGTCACGGTAGTCTTCAACGTGGCTGACAGCCCTCAAAGGTGAATTCGATTCGGACAACCTGATCTTCTAGAACATGCCTGTCCTTCAACAACTTTTCTTCTACGATCCTCCGCGAACATCTGGTTTATGTATGTTTATCACTTGAACATTTTAGTCCACTGCCTTTTTTGTCTGACCTCTTCCGGCACGAGAATGATCCTTTCAAAAAATTGCATGGTGCTCCTGTTTTAAGGCTTACTGCATGCGACAGAAATGCTCCAGCTTCGACAACTCGCTCTCATTGGCCCAGAAGAGTGTTTCCTCCATGTACTTAAAATGTATCCCGGCTCGGACGATGCAGAAATTAGCAGCCCCGCCCCTGCACTTACTCAATTGTCATATTGCTTCGTGTCATTGTGACTACTGTTAGGCGTTTGCATCAGATTAATAATCCATACGTGAGCATCGGTCGCATTATTCGCATATTCGCTAATCAAGTGCATGCACATGATGCATTTTCTCTTACATAGTACACATGCCGAAGTTCGGAGCACAACATTTTATTTTTAGAACGATGACCTCACTTTGGCACTTTCGCTTGCAAGTCGGCCTCCATTATCATGCTCGTGTGTTGTATACCGGACGGTCCTGTGCAACGGGTTATCGAGGACGACGAGAACGACAAATCCGATGAAGTCAAAATATCTTGGTACTCACACGTCCACCACTAATCACCAGGCAGTCATCCGACTATTACATGTCGTACGTGAACGTGCCCGGTGGAAGGAAGACGGTATTAGTACATGACTCACATGTCCGATTAATCCGTGCAGGTGTGTTCATAAGACAGTGTAATCATGCAGTGTAATCTCAGCGTACCCGTCGCACATTACAGCAAGTCGCCGCTTGGTTCTGGAGTACTTAACATGACAGGCGTGGGGTGTGCTGACTCTCAGCAACCTCAATCATTCAAAGTTTCAATGGCGATTCTCATTGCATGCACCCTTATTGTCTTGGCCACCGTCTGGATTGTGAAGCAACGATATCAGGCCGCAAGGCGGTTGCCATTACCGCCTGGACCGCCTGGACGTTGGCTTTTAGGAAATGCAATGCCAAAGTCATAGTAAGTCTTTGTCGAGGGACATCGACGTAGCCTCTAACCCCTCACGTAGTGCGCCGTTTCAATTCGCGAAATGGACAGAACAATACGGACCTGTGTTCTCGCTCAAACAAGGCCATAGGATTTTCGTGATTATAGGACGTCATCAGGTAAGCATCAAGCAATTCATCGGCTAACCAGGGATGAAATGGGTCTCGTGATAGGCTGCAGTGGATATCATGGAAAAAGAGGGAGCAAATCTTGCCGACCGCCCACGTTCTATTGCAGTCCAAGACACATTATCTGATGGATTAAGAATGGTTCTCGAAGGCAGTAGTGAGAGATTGCGCCGGCTGCGCAGGTAACCATCTTGTCTCTACCACTGGGTACGATCAGTGAGACTAAATGTAATGCAGGGTCTTGCATGCAGGCTTGCAACCCAAGGTTGCGGAGACTTATGAGCCCATCCAAACCAGACATTCGAAGAATCTGGTTCTGGATATCTTAAATGATCCAAAGAACCACCAAGGTCATGCCATGCGGTACGAACACCGGCTCTTGCTTGTGCGGTATAGGTGGTAATCCGAAGATTTTAGTTATGCAGCTTCTGTGGTCATGTCCTTCACCTATGGAAAAACTACTCCGACTTCATACACAGACCCTGAAATCGTTGCCGTCAATCGATCTCTTGCGCGTTTTGGTCAGGCTATCCAGCCGGGAGCATACCTTGTGGATACGTATCCAATCCTGCGCTTCGTCCCAGGCTACCTGAGTCAGCTGAAGGCATGGCACCAAGAGGAACTCGCTCTTTTTAACGGACAGTTGGACGCTGTGCGAAGACAAATGGTTCGTGGTTTTGTTTTGATGAGATGTATCCTCGCTCATCACTGTGAAGCGTGAGGGGACTGCAAGGCCATCATTTACGAGGTTTATTTTAGAACACCAGAAACAGTACCAGCTCGAAGACAAGGAACTGGGATATATTGCAGGAGGAATGTTTGCGGCTGGTTCTGATACGGTAGGTTCTTACGTTGCATGGCGTCATAAGTTGACAATTGTTGTAGACTGCGTCCGCAATCACATTTATGATCATGGCTGCTGTCATTCACAGGGATGCGCAGGCTCGTGTACAACAAGAACTCGATGACGTCGTGGGGCGTACGCGGCGTAGGTTATATATTTTCTTTGTTAACCTACTGACTGAAATAGCTCCTGATTAGTGCCGGCGTTTGCTGATCAGGAAATGCTGCCGCAGGTTACTGCGTTCATGCTCGAGAGTCTCAGGTGGAGACCTGTCAGTTTTGGAGGTATGTCTTATTTGAGTTGTGGTGACGCGATAATGAACGACCACCTTTCACTGCAGGCTTTGCGCATCGCGCGACGAAGGACATCATTTGGAACAATTACCTGATTCCTGCAGGTGCGACTGTGATTGGGAACCATTGGTTAGTGGGCAATTATTTTCGTCCTCTCACCTTTGGGTCTGATGCTCGTACTTTAGGGCTATCGCAAACGATCCTGAGGTTTTCCCAGAACCACACAAGTTTAATCCTCAGCGTTGGATTGACGATGCAGGTCGTGTGCGCGGTGATCTCAAGTCTTTCACTTTTGGCTTTGGCCGTCGGTGAGTGATATCGTTGATCTCTCCACCTTTTCCTGTGCCTTACTTAAAAATACCAGAGTGTGTCCTGGTCAACATGTCGCGAATCGGTCTATCTTCATCAATACGGCTCTTATTCTGTGGGCCTTCCGCCTTTCGGAGAATCCTGCAGCGAAGATTGACACACTTGCAATCTCGGATACTGCAACCGTACATGCTGCTCCGTTTGAGCTATGTTTAGAGAAGAGGATCGATGAGAATGTGATCAGGGAACTGTGTGCACCGGGGGAGTAAAGTCGTTTATCTAGGAACTTGAAAGTTCTCATTGTACTCGTATCATGTTTGTCGGCGCTGGCGTCCATCGCCTTTTCACAATAAGGAAGGCTTCTTTGCCTCTCCCAAAAAGCTTTTGACCTTGGCTGTCACGGGTTCTTGTCGAACATAGCTTTATTTATAGTTGGTGCAACACGCGCGATGCGTCTTATCCGATAACGACTCAGTTGTAGTATACTTTGTTGTGTCGATTAACCAACAAAATTCTCCAGTTCGGGAGTCGAGGATCGCAAGAACCGATGAAGTGGAAGCGCGAGATAAAGACAATGGCCGACAAAAGTTTCTTGTATAACTACAAGGTTACAAAAGATGGAAAGAGATCGAACAACGATCATCGTTTATCATACACAGGAACATGTGTGCAATCGCTCTACATCGCTTTTCACTTTACCACAATCATACAGTCATGATCCGAGTTGTATCGAATTATCATGTATCTTGTAATTCCCACTGCAAGTTGCGTAGCCTAGCAGTACTCCCGAATTTGACCAAGGCTTCGAGAGTGGTTTGGGATGGTACTTCCTTCTGCCGAGAGACAAGTCCATGCAGCTCCCTCGCAACACCGGGATGCTGACTCAAGAATGGAAATGTGGTTTCGCTTATTCCAGAAGCGTAGATCCGCAGACAGCGGTCCGTTTCGACAAGATTTGGCTCATTCTCCGGGAATGTAACGTTAAGCTTTGGTTCCACATTGAGGTCGAGGAGAAGAGCGATGTAGGGGAGATCCGATAGGCACTGGATCGAATCATGCGTGCGAGTGACCAACTTCATCTTGTCGACGAGCGGCTGCAGATGACAGCATTGGACCGCGCTTGTGCGATGTCAGTGTCGCAAAGACCACTCTTTGGCGCTGCATCTAGCACTATACAGAGGTGATAATCTTAGATACACTATCGCAATACCTAGAAGCTTGCTTACCTCGACGAATTAGCGTCAGTTTGATCGGAAACTGGCGGTGAGATGAACTCTGTCATAGACACCCAGTGCGAGAAATTGTTGTATGTAAGCATGCTGAAAAGCTGCCTTGGCCTCCTCGACTGTCCTTGACCAGAAAGTCTGGCCAAATAGGTACTCCAGGAAATCGATGACGGAGACCTTCCGGCAGTCTATTAGTTCCGCATCCCCACTTCCGTTATAGTGTAGATGCCGGATCAAGCCTCTGGGGCGGGTCCTTGCGGACAAAGAGATCCTTGGCGAGAAGTAGCAACAGCCTGCTGGCAAAATCTCCGCTCTGTTCTATCTCGACCATCCCACCATCAACCTTGCTGTTCAAGACCCTCAAAGCGTCACTCAGATCGTAAGGCATTCTATGGAGGATAATTGCTGCAACGCAAGACAGAAGGGGCTCTGATGCGGTGAAGTTCCACATCCTATCTTTGGTCGTTAAGAATAGCATGCGCAGGTGACTAACCACTGCTTTTGAGAGATGAGACGTAGCATCGGGGTGACCAAGACAAAAGTTGAGACCGAATCTCTGGGACAGGACAGCAAGAGCTTGATTCTTATCCCCCGGGTTAAATATGGTAGATTTGCAGAGTTTCTGGGCAGCCAATCGCAAAATATCAATGACAGGAAGTCTTTCCGCGAGGGACTTCCATCTATTCATGGCGGTCAACGAAATTGCAAACAAAGATAGAAACATAGAGACAGACAGTGGATGTCCGAATCCAACGATGTGATCGAACCTTGCGACATCATTCGCCGATATATAAGACATAGGAGCCGCATCCTGGTCCCAACCAAGACGTGTAGACAAGGTCGCCGTATACCGCTAGGCGCATAGAATCATCTGCCAGATTGTGTGAAGGTTGGAAACAGGCGACGTAGAGCATGTACTTACGGATCTCCTGAGGTGCCGAAAAATCTGCTACTTGCAAAGTCGTAGATACAAAAACGACCCAGACCGACGCGTCGCTCTTCTGGGAGTAGCAGTTGATCGCCCTGCCAATTATATCTGATGGAACTGCTACTTGCAAAGTCGTAGATACAAAAACGACCCAGACCGACGCGTCGCTCTTCTGGGAGTAGCAGTTGATCGCCCTGCCAATTATATCTGATGGAAGAAAACCCTTTCCACTTATGTTGCTCAAAGTGTGAGCCTCGTCAAATGCTATTACAAGTTTTAGATCATCGTTCGAAACATTGCCTTCCTCTGTAAATAAATGTTGCAGAACCCGTGGCATATTGTCATAAGATGTCGTGACGAATGACTCGCCTCTCAATTTTGCCGACCTGATCTTCCTATCTGTTTACGCAGTGTGAGCTTAGGTGGCTGCATTGTCAAAATACAACAATTACCTGCGAGTGACGTACTCCTTAACTTTGCGGCGGTCGCCACATCGGTTTTCTCTTCGGGTGTTGGCATTTTGATATTAGGGTCTGTTGCAAAATTCATCAGTCCATCTGTCAAAAAACTCTATTTCCCTGCTCACTTCCTGATATCGAGATTGAACTTTCTGAAAGAACTCGGTACGAGCTTTCGAGCGCATGTCACATTCCATGATTTTATTACGAGATCAGGACTTCCAGAGCGCAGCTCAAGTAGCTTACTGTTCAGAACCTGTTGAAGCGTCTGAAATATGGCCGTAGAAAAGGCGCAACAATGAGCGGTATACTCGGCTGGAGTGCAACCTGTATTTTCCGTCAATATACGCGTGGGCACTAGGTCCCGCGTAGGGTAGCCCAGATCACTTGGATCACGGAGGTTCATATACGAGACAATAACACCTTTGTTCCGGAGCTAATTTGATGCTTTAACTACCTGACACGAACACGGACTATAAAACACTGACCTCGATCATTAGTCTTGATTTTCCCGTTCCAGAACTTTGGACGATTGAACAGAACTTAGCATAGTATGGCCTATGCATGCCACCACCCCTGAACTTCATGTTGCTTTTTTTCAGGTACTCGTAGAAACCGTCCACGGCCTTGCCGACGTAAGGTCTGACGAATGAATCGTAAAGAAAGTCTGACCGGTCCTCATTTAGAATACAACTGACCTGAGATGCGACTGTAAGATGTTACAAATCTCTCACCTTGAGACGACTGCACGGGATCGCTAGCTTGGGGTATTTGAAATAGTTCTGCATTTCCAGCAACTGTCAGCAGAGGGACATCTATGTCACTGCACGAACACTCACCGAGGTCAGCTATGTGAGAGAACGAGCGCGTCTGACAGGCGTGGCGAATGATTTCCCATAGTTGAGGGTGTTTCTGTAGTGTTTTCTTCGCCAATGCCACTTCCGTGTCAAGACTACCCTTCAGGTGTTCGCGTTTGAGCAATCTACTGGCCGCCGAAATAGTTTGTGACATGATCACAAAGTAGCAATTAGCCCCTTCATCCTCAAGGTCAGCTTCTTCAAGTACGAATCTGTACGATTCGATCTATCTCATCACGGTGTTCAGATGTGAGAGGCAGGAGTGTTATGATCGTGTAATCTTGATGGACCTGACATGGTGCCGAGCTGGTGTATAAGTGATTGAAATTCTAACCTTGTCCTATTCGAAGGGGTTGAAAGATAATTCAAGCGGCGCGTCCGAGACCACAGCTGCCTTAGTGTTCATAGATGCAATGGCAGAGCGGCTCGGAGGAACTGAAGGTATACCGGCAATCACTTATGCCCAGTTGTTTGTCGTCAAAGAATAGAAGGTTAAGCAAAGTTAGGCATAGCCGCATAGGCGTAGTCAAGCGGCTACTGAAGTTTGCAACGATTTATTTTTAGAATGGTGACCCACGTTACTGAGCTAGACTCGTGAGTACTGCCATAGGCCGCCACGACTCTACTAGTACACTTTGGCACTTTCGCTTCCGAGTCGACGGTCCTGCCCAGTGCCAGTGGCATGACCAATCCAATGGGTCATGAGAGAACGACATAAAGATCTTTGGATGGAGTTGAAATGTTTTGGCATTCGCGCGTCCGCCACTAATCACCAGGGTAGTCATTAGGTTCACTATACTATGAGAAGACCGCAGTACACCACATCCGATTGATCGGTGCAAGTGTTGACTCGGAACTTGTCTTGGCACAAGTCAGTGCAATCATGCACTGTAATCTCACCGTACCCAACGCCCATCACAGCAAGTCACTGCTCTGTCATCGTGGAGTACTTAACGTGTTGCAAAGTGGTGGGGTGTTGTGATTATCAGGAAGCCCGACCATTCAACAATGGCGATTATCATTGCATGCACCCTTATCGTCTTAGCCAGCGTCTGGATTGTGAAACAACGATATCAGGCCGCAAGGCGGTTGCCCTTACCGCCTGGACCGCCTGGACATTGGCTATCAGGAAATACGATGCCGAAGTCACAGTAAGTCTTTATCGAGGGACATCAACATGATCTCTAGCTAACCTCTCACGCAGTGCACCGTTTCACTTCGCGAGATGGACAGAACAATACGGACCTGTGTTTTCGCTCAAACAAGGCCATAGGATTTTCGTGATTATAGGGCGTCATCAGGTAAGTATAAAGCAATCCATCGTTTAGCCAGGCACGAAGTGAGTCTCGTCATAGGCTGCGATAGAAATCATGGAAAAAGAGGGAGCAAATCTTGCCGACCGCCCGCGTTCTATTGCAGCGCAAGAGACATTATCTGGTGGGTTGAGAGTGGTCCTTGCGGGCAGTGGTGAGAGATTGCGCCGGCTGCGGAGGTACACATCTTGTTTCTACAAGGTTCGATCAGACTAAATGTAAAGCAGGGTCTTGCATGCAGGCTTGCAACCCAAGGTTGCGGAGACCTACGAGCCCATTCAGACCAGTCATGCAAAGAATTTAGTTCTGGATATCTTAAACGATCCAAAGAACCATCAAGGTCATGCCATGCGGTACGAACACTAGCTCTTTCTTGCGCGGTATAGGTGGTAATCCGAAGATTCTAGTTATGCAGCTTCGGTGGTCATGTCCTTCACCTATGGAAAAATTACACCGACCTCATATACAGATCCGGAAATTGTTGCCGTCAATCAGTCTCTTGTGCATTTTGGTCAAGCTATGAAGCCGGGAGCATACCTCGTGGATACGTATCCAATCCTGCGTTTCGTCCCAGGCTACTTGAGTCAGTTGAAGGCATGGCACCAAGATGATCTGGCTCTTTTTAATGGGCAGCTGGACGCGGTGCGAAGACAGATGGTTCGTGATTTTTTTTGCAATGACAAATATCCTTGCTCACCGGCGTGAAGCGCGAGGGGACTGCGAGGCCATCCTTTGCGAAGTTCATTTTAGAGCACCAGAAACAGTATCAGTTCGAAGACAAGGAACTGGGATACATTGCAGGAGGAATGTTTGGGGCCGGTTCTGATACGGTAAGCTCTTGCATTGCATCGCATCTCAACTTGACAACTGTTATAGACTGCGTCCGCAATCACAATTATGCTCATGGCTGCTGTCACTCACACAGATGCACAGGCTCGCGTACAAGAGGAACTCGATAAAGTTGTGGGGCGTACGCGGCGTAGGTTATTCCTTTTCTTTACTTATCTGCTGACTGAGATAGCTCCTGATTAGTGCCGACATTTGATGATCAGAAAATGTTGCCACAGGTTACTGCGTTCATGCTTGAGAGTTTCAGGTGGAGACCTGTTAATCTTGGAGGTACGTCTTGTCATTTGAGTGGTAATGACGCGATAAATGAACAATAACCCTGCACTACAGGCTTTGGGCATCGTGCGACTAAGGACATAATTTGGAGAGGCTACCTCATTCCGGCAGGTGCGACCGTTATTGGGAACCATTGGTCAGTAGGCAATCATTTTTCGTCCTCTCACCTTTACGTCTTGACGCTTGTATTTCAGGGCTATCGCAAACGATCCCGAGGTCTTCCCAGAACCGCACAAATTTAATCCTCAGCGTTGGATTGACGATGCAGGTCGTGTGCGCGATGATCTCAGGTTTTTCGCATTTGGTTTTGGCCGCCGGTGAGTAGCATCGTTCATATCTTGACCCATTCTCATACCTTACTTGAAATGATCAGAGTTTGTCCCGGTCAACATGTCGCGAATCGGTCCCTCTTTATCACCACGGCTCTTATTCTCTGGGCTTTTCGCCTTTCTGAGAATCCTGCAGCGAAGATTGATACGCTTGCTTTCTCGGATACTGCAAACATATATGCTGCTCCGTTCGAGATATGTTTGCAGAAGAGGATCAATGAGAATGTGATCAGGGAACTGTGCGCACCGGGGGAGTAAAGGCGTTTATCTAGGAACCAATTTCATATAATAGAGTACTATTCTAATAATGTGTACACGCCTTTGTGCGTGGGAATCTGATCCTCGCCGGCTTCAAACCTATACGCACAACACTCTATTATCCGCGTTCGACATGGGCAAACTGAACATCGCTCATCATAAATCATACCACCCCTACCGCCGGGACAACATCGAACGTGTACGGAGAGATGAAGAGGAAGCTGCGCAAAAGGAGGCCGAGGCCGAGGGAAGGGTGGTGCTGGCTGATGCAGAGGCTCGGTTGGACCTCCTCCGAGAGCGTGCAGGACTTGGGAAAGGAAAGGGAAAGAAGAAAGAGGACGATATGAAGGTTATAGAAGATGCTAAGGCCTCCATCATTGCCAGGGATTCGAATCAAGGTCATATCAATCTATTCGAGGATTTAGAACAGGTCGGTTTGTTCCTGACGTTTTGTGCGCATATACTGATTTGGTGCTAGCAAGAAATGATTACTTCAATAAGAGCGACGAAGAAGACCACACAGTTGGAGACTGAGAAGGGCGTGCCACTGGCTCCAAGTGCTAAGGACCTCAACCCATGGTACAGCGAGCGCGATAAGGGAAAGGAACATCAGGAGGATGAGAAGAGCGAACGCTTAAGGTATGCAGTTCATACTGTTCCACCCTTACATCTATGACTTCCCTTCAATATCTCAGATTGCGGGATCTTGCTTCAAAAACTATGAATGACCCTCTCACAGCTATCACGCATCAGCTTGCATCGAGTTCTTCGTCGAATAATTCTTCCCCTGTCCCTCGGCCGTCGTGGCATCGTTCCAAATATCGCACCCCACCTGATTCAAATGATAAGATAAAACCGCCTCCCCCACCCTCGGATGCAACGACCATGCGCCTCACACGTGAATCATCAGAACGCGAACGCGCGCTGGCATTGATTCGGCGCAAGCAGCGTGAAATGAGGGGCAGCGAGACGCCGAGTACTGTGCATGGGGGCCTAGATGAAGGGTATGGGGACGTATTTAACCGGCGGGAAGTCGAAGAAGCGCATTCATATCGACGAAGGCGGTGGTAAGTACATTCCTTGTTCATGAGACTTATTTATTGCGTTGTATGCTCTACATTTCACGGCGGCGCTACTACGGGTTGTTCTATCGATGGTTTAGGTATTTGGGTTGATCCTGGAGATGCTCACTGGTGTCTGGCTGGTGTTGTGGTGACTTGCCCTGTCATTTGGTCAAATTGCTATTCAAGCTCGAACATCTTAAAAGAAGCAGACCATGCATTATTGATGCGCCCGAGCGAACACCGGAGTACTCAACAATGCTTACTCCGCCCGGAATCAACTGGATCTCAAAATAAATTGCGCATGTGCTATTCAATGCGACCTCCCGGTCGAGAAGGGATTGGTGAGAAATGCCCGACTACGGATAACAGCTCTACATGTCGTCGACCCGTCGAAGTCCAGCTACTCAACAATCTCGAGAACCACTGCATTCCACGTTTCACGGTTTCTTTCCTTACTTCCAATTGGACAGTGAATCGCAAATAATTTCCTTTGTGACTAGCTTACGCGACTAATTTCAATAGCTCCCAAGGTCTCACTATCGCACAGTTCTCGATCTCAGGACGGATCTTTTTGCTCAGAGTTATAACATATCGGACATGCGGCCGCGGCTGCAGACGCAGACCAATGTGGTAAGGAATTCTCAAAGCGAATTACTACTTATTCTTCTCGTTGGCGTAGTACCTCTTTACACCCATTCTTTGACCCCTTCCGCCCACCGCTTTTCACACAGTAGTTATGAGTTTACGCATCTATTGTTTGATGGCACTTCTTTATCGTTCTCTACACATGGCATTACTCGAAATCGCTGTTCGTTTGTGCCCGCCCACCCGGCGGCGGCTTAATCTTTCAGCGTCCGGCCCGAGCTACTCAGCAGCTACTACTCAACCTCACGACGCCTTCGCACTCGATCCGTTCCATCTCATCGCAACAGTCGAAGTTGGAATGAAAGATAGTGAGTCGTGTTTCTATTGCGGTGCGTGTTTTGTGCGCTGATATCTCTTTCAGGCAAGTGCTGTCGCTGGGCCGTCTTTCATGCGTACACTTCTCGAGCAGCATGGGCATCAGCTATCGAGAACTGAGATGTGAACGATTTTTGGTGCCGCTACTGACAATGTAAATATTTTACGTATTGGTTGGTGAGCGGGATTAATAGTTCATGTTTAGATTTCCGCGGTCATCACCATTGCTATCCTCGCAGCGGCTTGTCATCCCGAGGCACAAGCGCGTGTGCAAGAACAGCTAGATACAGTCGTGGGTAGAGAACGAGGTATGTCCCGCTTTTATGGTTCGAATGCGGGATGGAATTGGTATGAGATACTCAATTTCTTATTCCCAGCCCCATCTTTCGAAGATATCCAGCGTCTTCCTGAGTTACACGCATTTATGCATGAATCGTTGCCCTGGAGGCCTGTTTGTCCCGCTCGGTAGATTATCTTCCTTCCGTTGTCAGCGACATCTAACTGTTAGCACAGGTTTTCCCCATCGTGCCACGAGGGATATAATATGGGTGTGTGAAATTGGTGTTCTTGAAACTCGGACTGGATATCAAATTGTGGATTAATACTTGTGCGTATAGAAAGGGTTACGGATCCCTGCTGGCGCAACAGTCTACGGCTGTCACTGGTGCGATCGTTCATCCGTCCTCCTTGACTTATCGGGTGACTATTGCACATCATAGGTCTATTTCTCGTGATGCAAATGCTTTTCCTGACCCCGAAAACTTCGACCCTCAGAGATGGGTTGAACCATGCGGGCGCATTTGTCCGGATCTCAAGTCTTTCCCATTTGGCTTTGGCAGGCGGTCAGTTGTCTGATCGAGTCAGTGATATTGGACTAACAGATAAATCAGTGTTTGTCCAGGACAGTATCTCGCAAGTGATTCTATCTTGATTACTCTTGCGTCTTTGTTCTGGGCTTTTCGAATCTTGGAACCCAATGATGCGCCCATAGATAGGTGGGCATTCAAAGACAATGTTGTTGCACACCCGCAACCGTTTTCGGTCATGTTTTTTCCCAGGTGGGATGCGGGGCATTTGGAAGAAATCGTGGGGCAATCCTAGTGACGCACATAACCTTTTGAGACTATGTATTGTCGGACGCGTCCACTATGATCCATTCCGTACATAGTAGCTTGATCCGGGAAGCGATGATAAATCAATCGTGAGTGTTTTACAATACATCAAAGCAGGCGAATTTCCTCCTTGACTGATCAACAAACAATAGATGCGGTATAGACAACACCATTCTGCGCCCCAAGTGCCTGTCATTGTGCACCTTCGTCGATCGGCCTGTACTTTCTGCTTATAAGATATTACTCTGCATTCCGGTCGGAACTAATGAATCGACACAACAGCAATTCTATGACCCTGTCGAGTGACACAGTACTAGTGGACGTCGTCTCATACTACACTTACACCAGTCCCATGCAGCCCCCTGCTGACAGAAGGTGGTTGATGTTCCACATTGTCTCTCAGTGCTGCTGAAGATATGTCGGCATCCACCCAATCCCGTGCAGTTCCGGGGATTGTGAAATAGCTTCCTGATTTCAATAAAGACCAGTTAGAAGACGGGTCGTGGCTCGTCCAATATCAACTGCATGATGCTCACCACTTGAAGCGCATGCGCGATGTCAAAGCCGAGTGTGCCGGTGTCCGGATAACGGGAAAGGCTGAAAAGAGATTGCTGCAGCCAAGACACTTGGATCTCTGCAAAGATCAATTCTCAGGGGAGCAGTATTAGAAGAAACGAAGGTCTTTCTTCAATAGGTCTGACAGGCTAGGAGAGACTCAGGGACAAATCTCATGTGCACTGGCAACCCGTGATGCTGCAAGCGTCTGTAAGATTACTGATATATTACTATGGACTGACTAGTTCGGTCAATTGTCAGTAGGCCCTGACTGAATCCGGAATCATGGTAAGAGTTCTGGGCACTCACTCATCACAAGACGCTGTCTTAATGCATCGGCCTTCTCAAGGTGTTGTGTTCATCTGGCAAATGAATGAGTATCAAGTGCAAGAGCGGGCAGCCTTGCGCACTCAGGGAATGATGAGCACCATGCCTTTTCAGAGCGAAAGACTATCCAGGCTAGGCAAGATTTTTCCTGTTGCGGGACCGCGGAGTTTTAAAAAGTAGCCTCGACATTACCTTTTCGGTCTTGCACGTCGAGCAGCTTTAGCAACGAGTGAAGCACACTCTTGCCCTTTTCTCCGTTATCAGGTGCACGACTTACTTGTGGATAGCCCGGAATGTTTTAACTACGCTGTACCCGGTTGCACCACGGATTTGATAGCCGAATTATCCGGACGAGCTCATGTTCTACTTGAAGTAAGAATGCAAGTCTAGGACTCTAGCAATCTGCTGGTTACCGTGTGCTAAGTTGTTCAACGTCTCCCGTGGTAATGACGATGGGCTAGGTTGCGCTAGGTGAGCCCATTTCGAACGTACTAAAAAAATGCATATTCCATGTGTTAGTAGGAATCACTTACATGGACGAATTGTAGCTCCGTGGCACCTCGTGGTACACCTGCTCCAAGCCTTGCTGTCATACTGCGGATTCCCCAAAATGAAAGCGCCCTGTTCGGAATTGTATGACATGAGTTTGTTCATAACCTCATACCTCTCTTGTCGGCTCTTGACGTACTGCTAGTCAAGAGGTTGACCAATTCCGCTAGTCGTCCACTTCATTGCCCTCAGCAATATAAAAGGGTGTTGTGTTGTGTCCACTTTCCTCATTACTTTCGCTTTTATCACCCGAAGGAAGCAATGTCGCATTACTCAAAGTCTCTCCTGTTGAGTTCACTGTTAGCGTTATCTACTCTTGTCTCAGGGTTGGGCAGATCCTGCTCAACACCGTTGGGTAGTGGAACAGCGGCTCCAAGTGATCCGTATTGGCTTCAGACTATCAAGCATCAAGGAACTTCAGCTTTCAACTCAGACCCAAGTTCATACCAGGTTTTCAGGAATGTCAAGGATTTTGGAGCCAAGGGCGATGGTATCACTGACGATACTGCAGCTATCAAGCATGTCATTTTTCTTTACCCAAAACATTAACTTACTCATATCCCAGTTCGGCCATGTCCTCCGGTGGACGTTGCGGCGGCGGATCTTGTGATTCTTCCACGTCAGTGCAGAACGTCACTGATTCTCTGCGAATACATTAACCGATTGTGGCATTCAGTGTTACTCCTGCCATCGTGTATTTCCCTACGGGGTAGGTCTGTTCGTTCATGTTACAAGATTGCCTGCTGACCATCGGCCAGGACTTACCTCGTCTCCTCCGCGATTGACACGTACTATTACACGCAGATTATTGGGGATGCAAAGAAACCTCCAACTCTCCTTGCCAGCTCGTCTTTCAATGGATTTGCAGTCATCGGTACCTGATCCACCATTCTCAATGTAGACGCCACCTTACGGAAATTTTACCCAGATGCTGATCCTTACATTCCCGATGGTTGGGGTGCTCAATGGTTCACTAACCAGAACAACTTGTGCGCTATTTTTTCTGCGAACGGTGTAGCATAGCTCATGGACGTCTAGCTATCGTTCCGTTCGCAACTTGATAATCGACCTTAGGCAAATCCCTGCATCAACTTCTGCAATTGGTTTGCACTGGCAGGTTTCGCAGGGCACTTCGCTCATCAATATCGTGGTCGAGATGTCGACCGCTTCTAATAACAAACACCAAGGTATGTTCATGGAGAATGGGAGGTGAGAGACTTGCTTTCTTATCTCAGATCTTAATTCTCAACCTATCACTATTAGTGGCGGTTTCATGGGAGGTGAGCATTTTGAATCTGTTTTGATACGAGAATAAGAAATTTGAATGGCAGACATGATATTCAACGGAGGTAAATCCATGTGATTGCTTTTGTTATTCTTTTTGTAACATTCCGCCAGGAAAGTACGGTATTCAAGTTGGTAACCAACAATTTACGGTTCGTAATCTGACCGTCAACAATGCCGCAACTGGTTTGTCCTCTCGTCTATCAATACGTCATGATACTCTAAATACTCATATCGATCAACAGCTGTCTCTGGCATCTGGAATTGGGGTAATGATCAGCTTATTGAAATCTATGCAGTTCTCATGTTCTTCCAGGATTCACGTTTCAAGGAGTCACGATCAACAATTGCGAAGTATGTGTTGAACTTGTAAATATTACCAGTGAGAATTGACAGGTGACAGATCGGCTTTGATTTGGCGACCGGTGGAACGTCAAAAAGCAATCAGGTTCGCCTTCGCGAGTGTTTGAATTTGCAAATAGCTAAATACTATCTAGACCGTCGGTTCAGAGGCTATCATCGATGCAGTTGTGACCAATACCTCCATTTTCGTTCGCTCTTCGGTAGCGAGTAATGGTCAACTAGCCGGCTCCCTCGTTCTCAACAACATCAAGCTGAGAAATGTTCCTACCGCAGTTGGTGTTGCAGGTGGAACCACAGTTCTTGCTGGTGGTACGACGACAATCGCTTCCTGGGTTCAAGGAAATGTGTATTCCGGAACCAGCGGGTCCAAGACATTTACACAGGGAAACATCGTCTCTGCAAATAAGCCCTCCGTACTTTTGGATAGCGCTGGACAAATCTTCGGAAAGGCTCATCCTCAGTACGAGAACTATGCTGTCAGTCAATTCATCAGCGTCAAGAGTCAGGGTGCAAAAGGCGACGGCCACACAGATGACACTACTGCTATTCAAAATACCCTTGATGAGGTGTGGTTTGTTACTTTGCCCTGTTGAAATCAAGTTGACAACTCTTATCAGTACGCTGGATGCAAGATCATCTTCTTCGATGCCGGAACGTATTATGTGACCGATACCATCACCATCCCCGCTGGAGCTCAGATCGTCGGCGAAGCCTGGTCAGTCATCATGGCTGGTGGGAGTGCTTTCAACGATCAGAACAACCCACGTGTGGTTATTCGAGCAGGCGCAGCAAATTCTCGAGGTGTCCTGGAGATAAGCGATATGGTCTTCACCACCGCAGGCCCTAGTACGTGTGGAAATAGTCTGCCTTGTTTCTGAACCTGATCTCTCACAGCTTCCGGTGCCATCATGATCGAGTGGAACGTGCATGATCCATCTGGTCAGCAAGCAGCGGCAGGAATGTGGGACAGCCATATTAGGTTGGTTTTGGTTCTCTCGTGGATTCGGGATGCGCTAACGATAATGGTATAGGTTGGGTGGAGGTAAATCTTTCGAGATTTGTTAATGGAGAAACGTTCTAACCTTTCCTTGTTAGCTGCCGGAACAAACATGCAGTATTCACAATGTCCCTCAGACTCTGTCAATAGCGCCTGTCAAGCTGCTTTCCTTGGGATACATTTGACTTCTGGATCGAGTGCATACCTTGAAGTACGAGGATTAGAAGCCCAAAAAACTTCTCTAATTTGATATTTTCGCATAGGGCACATGGGTCTGGACCGCCGACCACGACCTTGACGATTCCAACTCCTCTAAAATCTCGATCTTTACTGGTCGCGGGATTCTTTCCGAGTCTCATGGCCCAGTATGGCTTATTGGTACATGTGCGTGGCTTTTGTGACTCTCGTGACCTCACCCTGACAACTTGACCTAGGTTGTGAGTGATCATCAAACTGGGACATTGTCGCAATGCTTATCAAATCAGCTGAACACGCTGTGCTGTACCAGTATAGCCTGGTGAACGCTCAGAACCACTATATTGGCTTTGCCCAGACTGAAACGGTATGAACTGATCTTCCTATCAGGTTCATTCTATCTGATGCCGCTCAAGCCATATTACCAACCCTCTCCGGCCGCTCCAGCACCTTATAGCACTGCCTCAGCCTACAATGACCCTACCTTTTCGAGTTCGATCGACATGGCCTGGGGAATGTACATTCAGTCTTCGAGCGACATCATCATATTTGGTATTTACTCTAACTTTGTCTGTTCTTGCACGCCATTAATAATTACATGTACAGGAGCGGGCTTCTATAGTTTCTTCCGGGTGAGTGGACTGCGCCATCCGATCTTTTGTTGCTTATCCGAATCGATTATTCGTTCAGAACTATAGCCAGGACTGTTTGACCACTAACACTTGCCAACCACAAATTTTCAACGTCGATTCCGCGTCAAGCGTCACTGCATACAGTGTGTCAACCATAGGTACTACATACCAGCTCAGCGTGTCACAGGAGGGGGTCATCCACTCCAGCGATAATGTCGATGGGTTCCAAGAGACTTTCACAGCTTGGAGCAAGTAGGAAGGACTAATTGAATCCTGCAGTGCTAAATTTGAATACATCATACGAGAAGTCTGTGGTTCCAGTAATACAAGTCCCTGCGCGAGAGAAT